TGTGGCTAGTTTTGTCGGTAATCGGTGGCCTCTACACCCCCTCCCCCCCCCCCCCACACTGAAAAAGATCTAGCGACGCCCATGATAACAACACAGTTTAGACACTCGAGATAATATTTGCAAGTACTACGTGGTGAAGTACCAGACCACCGTCTTTGTGCATTGTGCAGCAACGAAGCATATACAACGTCTGGCGACATGACAGATCACTTTTCTCTAAGTTCGAACCAATCAGAAGGCCTCGTTTTAAGTGCCGGTGGACATTAATGCGTCTAATATGGTTCTCAATTTGCAAAAGATCCCTACTCTTAAAGGGGTAGGAGAAAGCTATTTTACGTCATATTACTCCAGGAAGTGCCTAAAAATGCGCCTAATGTGGTTCTAAAATTGCAAATGTTTTCTACCAATGCCTACCAAATACGACCAACCGCTGCTTGGTCGATCCGCTCCCTCGCCGCTGACGCCTCGCTCTGTCGTTTCGCTCCATCGTTTTTCATATATATTTCACCCATGCGATTTTGTGCCCCCCCCCCCCCCAGTAAGAAATTCCTGGATCCGCCACTGACGTAGGGCTATCATCTAAGATTCAACATTTATACGATGCCTTTAATGAATTTGGTTCCTCGATCGTCCTCTTCTCCTTCCTTTTTCTTTGGACCCGCCGTACTTATATTTTGTTATTTGATACTTTTTGTTCTGAAATGAAATATATAAAGATTCAGGGGCGTCGCTAAAGAGGGGGGGGGGGGTGTGGGGTTGCGACACCCCCACCTGTCACGATATTGTCGGTAAACTGTTGCGCTGCTATTGGGAAAATGAGAAAAGGGCAAGAAAAGGAAAAGAAAGGATTGAGAGGAAAAAGAAGAGAAGAAAAAAGGAAAAAAAAGAAAAACAGGAAGGATAGAACAGAAAGGAGAAGAAAGAAAAGGAGGGGAAAAAAGGAAAAAAAGAGAGAAAAAAAGAAATGACAAAAGTAACGTGGATGAAAGAGAGGAGAGAGAGGGGGTAGTATAAGAGAAGAGGGATGGGAGTAAGAGAGAGAGGGGGATGTTGGGTGGAGTCGCCACTTCGATGGACCAAGAAAGATACGCATAGATTATTATGTAACTGTGTTCGGTCCACTGTGTCGGTATTCTTGCTCGATCCTCGTGTACTATATATCAATGCAAAAGTTTGAATTCGGTGAGATTTATTATGTCGGTCGGCCGGCCGGCAAATTTTTTTTCTCCCTACGAACTGTGAATTTTTATCGGACAATAAAACATTTTCAAAAATTCAGACAATGATTAATAGATGATACAACGAATCGTCTTCTTTCTCTAATAATTTAATGAAACGTCAAAGCTTCCGTGCTTTGCGCGGGAGGGGGAAACTGAAATCAGACAATGATTAAGAGTCGAAAACAGTCCAACGAATTGCTTCTTTCTCTAATAATTTAATGAATTGTCAAAGTTTCCGCGGAACCTGAATTCGGAAAAGGATTAAGAGTCGAAAACCGTACAACGAATCGTCTTCTTTCTCTTATAATTTAATAAAACGTCAAAACTTCCGCGCTTCATGCGTGAGGGGAAAACTGAATTCAGACAGGGATTAAGAGCAATAATTTAATGAAACGGCGAAGCTTTCGCGCTCCGCGCGGGAGGGGGTGGGGAATGAATTCAGACAAGGATTAAAAGTAGAAAACAGTACGACTAATCGTCTTCTTTCTCTAATATAATAATTTAATGAAATGTCCAAGCTTCCTCACTTCATGCGTGAGGGGAAAACTGAATTCAGACAAGGATTAATAGCAATAATTTAATGAAACGGCAAAGCTTTCGCGCTCCGCGCGGGAGGGGGTGGGAATAAAAGTCGAAAACAGTACGACAAATCGTCTTCTTTCTCTAATAATTTAATGAAATGTCAAAGTTTCCGCGAGGGGGAAAACTGGCAAATAATTTAGCTCCTGGCTCCGGGTTTTTGGGTTTAGAATTTTAGACATTGGGATTAATATATTTGTCGGTACTTGGTGGCTGGTTTTGTCGGTAATCGGTGGCCTCTAACCCCCCCCCCCCCCCCCCCACTGTAAGAAGGTCTAGCGACGCCGCTGTGAGGATTACGGGGACATCAAATTATTTGTTATCTCATTGTCTCGATTCTGATTAAGTATTGTATAACATGGAACCCCTTCTCCTCAGAAACTCCACAAGCAACTACGCAAGGGTGTCGATTTGTATCCGTGGTTGGGGGGATGATGGTTGCCAAAATATTTTCGGCAATGGATCAAAGCAACCAAGAGGTAGAAGCGTGTGGCAGGTTGCACCCCTCCCCAAGCGCGTAGCCAGGATTTAACTTTAGGGGGTGGTAGTAAGCAACCGAAGCACCCTCCCTAGTGGGTTGGGTGCAGGGAGGGGGGGGGGGAGTTCCCCCTCCTCCGCGAAGCGCGGAAGCTTTGACGTTTCATTAAATTATTGGAGAAAGAAAACGATTTGTTGGACCGTTCTCGACTCTTAATCCTTGTTTGAATCAAGTTGAGTTGAGTTGAGTTTATTTTATTTATACACGGTAAAAGCCCGAAACAGTTCGCAGACTGGTTTCAATCAGGGCCGTGTCGATAAAAAACAACATAATCATGGCATATAAACAAAAGTAATATAATACTGACAAATTCACAACCATAACACGACAATATATAGGAAATAAGCTAAAAACACTTTACTTAGTTAGAACTATATTGGTAGTTCCCCTTCCTCCGCGCGTAGCGCGGAAGCTCTGACGTTTCAATCGATTATTAAAGAAAGAAGACGATTCGATGTGCCATTCTCGACTCTTAATCCTTGTCTGAATGCAGTTTCCCCCTCTCGCGCGAAGCGCGGAAGCTTTGACGTTTCATTCAATTATTAGAGAAAGAAGACGATTCGTTGTATCGTGTCCTTGTCTGAGTGCAATTCGCCCCCGCCCTCCCGCGCGAAGCGCGGAAGCCTTGAGGTTTCAATGAATTATTACTCTTAATCCTTTTCTGTATTCATTTTCGCCTATCCAGCGCCACGCGGAAGCTTTACCGTTTCATTAAATTATTAGAGAATGAAGACGATTTCTTGTATCGTGTCCTTGTCTGAATTCAGTCTTCCCCTCCCGTGCGAAGCGCGGAAGCTTTGAAGTTTCATTTGATTATTACTCTTAATCTTCGTCCGAAATCATTTTCACCCATCCCGCGCGTAGCGCGGAAGCTTTCACGTTTCATTAAGTTATTAGAAAGAGAAGATGATACGTTGTATCGTGTACTTTGACGTTTCATTTAATTATAACTCTTAATCCTAGTTTGAATTCAGTTGACCCCCTTCCGCGCAAAGCGCGGAATCTTTGCCGTTTCACTAAATTATTAGAGAAAGAAGACGATTCGTTGTACTGTTCTCTATATTAATCCTTGTTTAAAATCAGTTTCCTCACATGATGTACGTATGGAACGTTCGTTCGCACATATTTGCATGCACAGCCCAAGACAGTGGTGGGTAGCATCTCCCGGCAGTGCTTGTCGCAATAGCTTCTGGAAAGGAATTGTATACTACTGTTAGTGTTAACGGCCACTAATTTGGCCCATTAGTGACTATACAAAATATATGCTCTTCCTGGCTATTTGGGAATGTGTCAGTTTGCAATAAAGATGGAGAAACGCGAATTTTGTTGAAAATCATGTTATATCACGAACATTTATTAATCACTTGTATGAAATTAAAAATAATTCATGGTTGGATTTTACTGGTCGGTTGAACCAACCAGTACGCCAGTGACATAGGCCTACATCAGCTTTTCAATAAAACAAAAATAAGTTGTGACATAATAATCTTTCTCCAAAAATGAAATATGTTTTAGGAAATATCAGGAAATAAAATAAAAATAAAGATACAATGACGTGAATTTTAAAAAGGGTGAACGGAAACAACATAACAACTAGTGAACTATCTTATAAGTCATACTAATGTCCGAAAATCTTTCTCCTTGTCTCCGATCTCATCACCAATTCGTCACAGAGTTTAGTTATGTTTACATTGTCCAGGATGGTCTGATGTTGCAGATTGCTACTTTTGCGCTTCGCGCTTAACATTTAGCTCGTTGCTTTTTAACGCTGCGTCTTTGCATTTGGCGCACTGCATTCCTATGATGCTGTCGATTAAACAAATTGAATTAATTCATCAATTCCTGATGAAGCCGTATGATCGAGAATTCAATTTATTCTTGTCTCATATACGGATGTCTCATTTACTTCATATATGTATGTATTATGAAAATGAGATAGCAAAATGTGTATATTGATGGTCATCTTGCGAGTAATAACCATTAACTACTCTCATTAGGCTCTCATCATTAATTTTTCTCTTATTTTTTTTTTTTTTAGGGTGAATAATTGGGGGGGGGATGATTGTACAGGCCATCCCCCCCCCCCCCACCTGAAATATCGGGGGGGGGAGATATATCCCCCGTCCCCCCCCCCCGGGATCATTTTCACCCATCCCGCGCGTAGCGCGGAAGCTTTCACGTTTCATTAAGTTATTAGAAAGAGAAGATGATACGTTGTATCGTGTACTTTGACGTTTCATTTAATTTTCATTTAATTCATCATTAACTAATCTCATTAGGCTCTCATCATTAATTTTTCTCTTATTATTTTTTTTTTTAGGGTGAATAATTGGGGGGGGGGGATGATTGTACAGGCCATCCCCCCCCCCCCCCACCTGAAATATCGGGGGGGGGGAGATATATCCCCCATTCCCCCCCCCCCCCCGGGATCGACACCCATGCAACTACGTGTATTTCTGTTTATTTTTGCTTTGTTGATACACCATAAGGTGTGCCACTGCACGCCACTGCACTGCACTGCAGCTTTTCGTGTGTGTGTGTGTGTGTGTATTTGGTTTTACAGACGTGTATCAATCAGATATGATTATTTACGTCTGGGGACCGACCTTTAACGTCACCATCCGAAAGACGTGACTCAGTTTCGAACCTGCGTCCTCGGCTGAATCAGTTTGTAACTTCCACTGTTAGCTGGATTACAGGCGCACGCCACAACACCTAGTGATCTTGCTTCCGATTAATAAAGGGGTAAAAGTAAGTCTTTATTCGAAAGGTGATATTTTAATGATTATTTTGACAATTGACAGAACTGATTTTTGTTGTTTACTTATAATTTGCTTGTTCGCTCAACTTCGATGGGACATGGCGAAATTGCACTCACACCGCACCGGTCATTGTATTGATTGCCAGAGAGTAGACTACCTTGTACCTTGTACCTTGTGTTCATCTCTTCCGAAGGGTCGACCCGCTAGGAACTATAACTTGAAGTATAACTTGGCGTGACGAGAGTATACATTTGTGTATTTCAGGGGTCGTAGCAGCTTTATTAGGGAGATTGCCGGTTGCGGGACGCGAATATCTTTTATTGTAGAATGAAAAGTGAAGGTCAACGGATAAGACCTATGCAAATAATATACGCCCACCTGATATTTGTTCATGCTCTAAAACTAATAGTGAAACAATGTAGGTCAGCCACCTAATGTAACTAGACCAAATACTTTATTCATAAGTTCAATTTTTATTTTATTTTAAAACTTCACTGGGCTTAGGCCCGGGGGAGGGGAGGGGTACTCACATATAAACCCTAATAAGGCCGGGCTATTTGAAGTCTTACTACGGCCGGGGGGGCCATTATGGCCCCCCCCCCCTAAGATCTCGGCCGTGAAAGGGCCGATCTCCGCGAAAATTTGCACGCATGTCAAGTGAAGTGTACAGAACAATATGATAATTTCAATTTTTTGAAAAAAATCACTCATTTGCATATTTATGGTAATTTATGCAAATAACGTCATAAAATCACATTTTTACCCATAAATCATATATTATTCATATTTAAGCATTCTTTTTCACTACATATATTCATTACACCATTTGGAACAATAATACGACAACAAAATTTGGAAGAGCCAGCTTATTCCTTATGTTATTTCTTGTTTTGATAATTTCTTATGTATTTCATTGTTTTTTTAACTTATTTATGTCATTGTTTTTTTTTTTTTTAATTTCTTCCTACAATTCAACTATTTTGACTCCCAAAACAACCACCTAAACTTTAAACAAGACCCAATAACCAATGTTTGATCTATTTTTAGGAAAAATGACATTCCCATATGTTTTGTACACAAATCACAAAAATGAGCGATTTTCGGGCTGACATGCAAAGACAAAAGGTCACATGACCTTGTAACTATAGGTCCGATTTTTTTTTTTTTTTTTTTTTAAAGATGCACAAGACTCTTAAGAAAAATGTCAGCGAGCGGCGAGGCGCCATCCATATGCGTTCTCGAACAATCAGAAAAATTGTGGAGGGGGGGCCATAATGCCCCCCCCCCGGCCTTATTAGGGTTAAGACATACGGGGTTGTGCCGCTCTAATGGGTCACTTTTTCTAACAAAAAACCCTAAACACAGGTCCAATTTCAACAAAAACATCCCTAAACGTGGATCCGTTTTTTCAAAATTTCCAATATTATCGGGTGTTTGCATGGCCATTGTCACTGAAAATTGTGAAAAATAGGCTTTACTTCCATTACAATCCCCCCAAATGCCCTTTAAAATGAGTAGGGGTTTTGAGGCTTATGTGGCACACCCCCGTCCAAACCAAATCTCAGTACCCCTTGTGTGTTGCAAATCTGATCTGATATGAGTCCTCATCCACTATCATCACTGTCTCTCTCTCTCTCTCTCTCCATCCCCTCCCCTCCCCTCCCCTCTCTCTCTCTATCTCTCTCTCTCTCTCCCCTCCCCCGCTCCCTTCCCCCTCTCTCTCTCTGTCTCTCTTGCTCACTTTCTGTCTCTGTGTATTTTCATTCAGTTCTTTAGTGCAATGGAGAGATGGGTTGGAAGAGTTGCCCTGGTAACTGGTGCATCTGTTGGTATTGGAGAAGCAATAACTAGATCCCTTGTGAGGCATGGAATGATAGTCGTTGCCTGTGCTCGTGGAGTGGACAAAATACAGGTTTATTTAATATTCATGGAATTGTTTCAGAAGATTTGTTTTATTGCCGGGGGCATGTGATGACGATATGGCCACCACATCCCCTTTCCCACCATCTGCTTTTATTCAAAGCTTAAATACTTCCTACAAACAACACTCAGATGTGATCATATATTTCAATGAGACTCTTCTCAAAACCAATGACAAGACATAGACAGTCATATTAATAAACTTTATTCTTGTGTTTTTAGAATTTAAGTCCTAAACTTTCAGCATGCATAGAATCTGATATAATCTGGTCTATTGTAGTTGTACAAAAATACCCCTCAACAAATTTGTCAACATTTTAATAGGAATAAGATATGTCAAAATGGGAGCTATTTTATCATTTTAGTTGTTCATGCCACTGTTTTATGGAAATTTTGTGCTAGTTTTTTTTTTTTTTTTTTCTTCACATTCTTTAAAAGAATTTGTAAAGGTGCTTAGGGGGTAAAGCTCTGGTAAAGAGAAAACTCTAATACATGTTAAATTGTTTTAAAATAATCTCACATTTACAAAAGAAAATCCCTAAGGCTCTCCCATGCAGCATTTTCCCCTTTGACTGCAGAAGTAATCAGTAATGTTCAGTGGCAGTTTTACTTTTAGTTATTCTCTTGGAATGATTATTTGAAATTGTTCATGGATAGTTGAGTTATCTTCTGTTTTACATTGTATCACTTAGGCAATGAAGTTAGAGCTTGAAGCCGAGTCTGCGTGCGGAAAGCTTCATCCTATCCAATGTGATCTTACTCAGAAAGATCAGATAGCTGCCATGTTTAAAGAGATCAAGAAGGAGTATAAAGTAGTCCATGTTTGTATCAACAACGCAGGTATTAGCTTTGAAGCTGGTCTCATCAAAAGCAACCCAGAAGATTGGCAGATGGTGTTAGATGTGAGTACAGTAAAGGTCCCAGGTTATTGACCTGATCGATTGGGACTAGATCAGATATCCCCAATGTATACATTAGACAAGGGGTTGAATGATGTTGGTAAAGAATCAATGGATTTCTACGTCAAGCAATGGTGTAGAAAGCACTTTACTAACAGGAGAACAAAATCAGCTACTGCATGATTTCAGTTTTAACACCATATGTGAAGTACTAGAATTTTTAAACCTGACAACTGATTAATTGTTATGTTTATTTTTTTAATAAATTCCTATAGATGCATATGATCAGCCATCTTACAATTAATATGTATCTTACATATAAAGATTGTTATGTTTTCAATCATCCCTGCTCTATTATATTGTAGGTAAATATCATGGCTCTGTGTATTTGCACACAAGAATCAATAAAATTGATGCTGGAAAACAAAGTGAATGATGGACAGATTATACATCTCAATAGGTGAGTAATTCATCTTTCACTCTACAACCCCCTCTCATACTCTCTCTCTCTCCCTCTCCCTCTCCCTCTCCCCCTCTCTCTCCCCCCCCCCCCCCCCCTCTCTCTCTCTCTCTTTCTCTCTTTCTCTCTCCTCTAACAAGATTTGTCAAGAGATGAGACACTATATTTCACCAATCTGCCATTTTAATATTGCGTAGGCTCAGTCACATAAAAAAGGAACGTCTTGATTTGGTTTCTTTCCATGCATTGTTTTTGCCACTAAGTATGGATCACTAACTATATATGCATGTCTTTATTTGCATCCAGAGATGATCACTGGAGAGTACCTTTTACTACAAAACATAATAATTTCCATTTTATTTACTTACAGTATGATATTTATCTCTTTTCACAGTATGTCTGGTCACAGAGTGGTAGGAGAAAGTTTTTACTGTGGAACTAAGTACATGGTGACAGCTTTGACAGAAGGTTTAAGGAATGAGCTGAGGGCAATGAAGACCAACATCAGAGTTTGTGTAAGTTTCAGTGAAGTTATTCAGTCCGACATCTATTTTTGTGGAATAAACAGAGGTCACATATAGTGAAAGTAAAGTCTTAGCCAAAAGAACAGTCTTTAGATACTGTATACTATAAATCAATATGGAAAGCTTATTAGTATGTAACCACTAATATAACCAATACATTGTTTACAAGTTAACTATATTTAATTTTGAAATTGACAAAGATGGTTCATATTCATAATAGATGTATTAATTGATTTAATTTATTTTAAAATTTCTGCATTGAGTAACATTTCATAATCTTAAATTACTATGAGCTAAAGAAAAACTGTTTAAAGAATCTGCAGTTGTTTTGCTGTGTATTAGAATTAGAATTTTAGATGTGTATAGTGCACATGCATATATCTGCCTATAATGGCACCCAAGGCGCACACAAATCAAGAAATTACAAGGTAATACAAGAATTAATAAACACATACACAATTACAACAATGGTAATTCACTGATGATAAAATCAGAAAGATGAAGAAAAAAAAGAGATATATGCATCGTCACTGAGATCATTTTAGCGTTGTTTAAAACATTCATCAATTGTAGACTTTCTTCTTGAAGAAAGTTTCCTGATCCCTGTGGAAGATTGATGCACTTGACTTGATGAATAAAGGAAGCGCATTCCATAATAAGATACTACTGTAGTGATGATCTTAATCTTGTAACTGTATTTTTACATCCCAGGGTATTTCACCAGGTATTGTCGAGACTGAATTTGCGTTCAGGAAGTTACATCAAGATCCCGCCGAATGCACATTTTACCAAGAAAATCCTGTGAGTATATACATGTATTAATATACTATGATATTTTGCTGAGCTTATTATTTTATTTTTTTACTGATTTTCCCCAATCTTTAACTGAAGGTAAACAGGTATTTTGTTTATGTTTCTGCCATTTGTTTCATACTCATACATTTATGAAGAAAGAGGTGTTAACAAGATACACCTACATCATTTTACTTCAGCAGCTTAAAGGCTAGTTCAGATATGACATGGTAAATCGGCGCAAGAAAAAAACACAGCTATTTGTAAAACTTGTTAAAAATGAATGGCAACTGTGAAGAAAGAATTTCTTACACGTATTCACTTAGATCTGTGTAATACAGTGCAGAAATGTGAAGTATACTACACTTTACATCTGCAATGGTTTACCATATCTGAACAAGGCTTGAGAGTTCTGTCAAGATTCTTTGATTTACTCTGAACTTATTTTTTCTGTAAAGGGTCTGAAAGCAGAAGATGTTGCGAATCAAGTCATTCACATTCTTCAGCAGCCTGCTCATGTCCAGGTATAGTATTCACATGTCAGTAATTTATGGGTATGATCATATTGTGTACCAGTGTAACTTGTAAATAGTTTCATTTTCAAAGACAAGACACAAAGAGCATCAGACACACAGAAATTGCTGCTAAGGGTTGTGCATGGGCATTATGAAAATGTCCCAAAGCTGTGAAGTTGTAAATGATACAAGATGCATGTAGTAAAATTTCAGTCACATTCCATATTGTATGGTTACATCCTTATATAACTTGCTCCATTAACAATTGCTCAGCATGCAATTTATTAAACTAACCAACTTTCTATCTTCAATTCTGGACCTTAATCCATACACAAGCCCCAACCCTAGGACCAACAAAAATCATTTGGTTGTCCTCGATTGCTTTTCTGGAGTAGGGGCGGGTGGGCGTTTTTTACTTTTTTTTTTTTTTTTTTTTTTTTTACTTCATTTTTTGTGTCTTTTTTTTATTCCCCCCCCCCCTCCCCATTTTGGGGGATTTTTTTTTTGTAATATTTTTTTTCCATAAAAAAAAATCATTGGGATGTCAAGCATTTCAACAAACAAAGTCTACAAAACACTTTAATATGGTAAAAGACTAGTTTAATGTACAATGAATATCAAGACCAACGCAGAAAGTATTTTGGGCTTTGAAATACAGCACCTTTTAAATCTCTATCGTACTACTTATAGCTACTTGCGCCCTCTATATAGAAACAATGCCTAATCGGTGACCATTGGTCCCCCATGATCCTCTTTATCTTATGTTAACTGAGAGCTGATTTGATGAGATAACCACCTGTCCAGTGACCTTACAGGGTGGTCTAATACCTCCTGTAAACTAGTACAGATGGGCTTTAAAATGAGTTTAAGAATGCTCAGAACCTGAACGGCATGTTGACATAAAAAAATTAAAATGGCATGTTTAATAAATACAGAATTGCGCACTGAAAAGACCAAACTGACAACGGGACGCATTTCGATCCTTGCAAATGCATGAAATGGCATGTTTGGCATCTAAGATTGCTCCCCCCCCCCCAAAAAAAAAAAAAATAATAATAATAATAATAATAAAATAAAATAAAATAAAAATAATTTAAAAAAATAAAAAATTGTGAATAAAAAAAATAAAACAAATTGAATTTAAAAAATAATAATGATAAAATAAATAAAATGACGAGCGGGCGGTCGAGGACAACCAAAGGATTTTTTTTTTATTTTTGGCCTTGGCCCAAATTCACAAAGGAGATTTGTCGACAAACCTCTTTGTGAATTCGGGCCTATGACTTTGAAAGAAAGCACCAGACCAGAATAAGATGTTAAACACCCATTAGTATGAGCAACAGGTGTAGCTTGACACAGACCTGTTTGTGTGCTCTATGTGCTATCTCTAGAGGTCATTTACTGATTCTCTCATAGCACCAAGATATGACTCATGAATGTTCATCTTGTTTTTATAACTTTGGGTTAAAATGGCTTTAATCTCCTAATAGATTGACTCTGCACGGTCTCTTATGGAAATCAACCTCTTTAATTCCTTCAGTTTTTTCATCTCTCTCTCTATCTCTCTCTCTCTCTCATTTACACAGCTTCATGACATTTTGATGCGAGCTACTGAACAGGTGTTGTAAGAGGATTCAATTTCAGGCACTATTGAGAGCCCACTAATTTGGTTTATTATTGTGTGTGAGATGAGATTTATTGCTGGGGTCTTGTAGTAATTAGAGATTGAGCTATGAATACTAATCAAGGACAAGATATGGAAGTAAACCTAAAAGAAATTTATGTTAAAGCGAAATGCAATCATCTCCAGCTGGTTAAGGTACTTACATACATGTACATGAAAATAACACAACGTGATGAATATGTAGAACCTGTGTAAATTGAACAAAATTGTATGCTACCATTGTTTCCTTTATCTAATATGAAAAACAAGGTAAATTTATTTGGAATACTTAAGGTCCGTGCAAACTACAATGTCTATTTAAATGACAACTACCATTAATACATTTTGTATGACCGAAGCTGTTTAATGACACATTTTATTAACGTACATGTACATGTAGTTGCTAGAATTCTATTAACATTGTATTCACTCTGTATAAGCATCGCACTAAGATGCGGAAACTTATAGTTATGTCCAATAAAGACAAATACAAACATCATTCTTTTGATATTCTACAGTGTATGTACAATTTGGAAATAGCAATAGAAATTATTAATACTACATTTTTGTTTCAGTAATAAAAGGAGGCAAATGTTTCTTATTGATTACAATACTTAATATATTTCAATTTTTACTTGCAAAATGTTTGTTATCCAAACATTTGTGTAATATGTAATTTTTTAATCAAATTAACTACTTAAGAGAGCGCTAAAAACTCACCTTTTTGATGAATGCTTCGATTAATTATTATGTAAACGTACATTAAACATTGTAAAGCGCTTTGAGAGGACCTTCGATCCTAAAATGCGCTATAGACTGAAGAACGAACTATTATTATTAAAGAATTTTTATGAGACTTATACAAAAAAAATATTACAACTCTTCTTCTGATACGCCTTCTTTGAGGGAATTTGTATTGAATTAAAAAATGCCATGAGGTTCAAATCAATCATACATTTACTATTTCATTGCAATTAAATAGTCAAATATGAAACATTCATAAATTGATGACGAACTATAAATTATGTAAATAGTTTTACAGAATTGTAACCGTTTTCATTTTGGCTGAATTATTTTAAAATACATACATGTATCCCCATGTAACAATTATGTAATCATAACAAGACTAGATTGTTTGTAAATGTATTGTATGGTTATAAAACAAAATTGAAGGAACATCTTCAAGTACTCGATCCTTCGCTTTTTTTTTTCTTTTCTTTATAATTGGGCTGCTTTTTTTAAAGAAGCATTTTCTATTCAATGCAATTTATTCATATATGTACTGATATCCATTCTGACGACAATTTTCACTTACAGTATTGCGCTAAAAGTACTGCTTGCCTTCATTAGAAGACAAAGAATGATGGAAGTTGAAGGAAGTAATAATTTTTTATAAAATTACCCGATGTTTTATGTATGGATGATATGTTTTTTTGCTTTTATTCACAATGACTTTATTGCCGTCATAAACTGATTTATTTACGTACCCTTAAATTGATCTAATTGCACCTGTGTTATTATAGTTTGACAATAAACGAGCTATTTGCACAGCACAAGAATTCTGGAACGTTGCGCAAAATGATTTTTGAATTTGTTCCTGTTTATACGACCAGGGACGTCGCTATTCAGTGAACCATTTTAAATAGAGTTGTCGGACAGAATTAGCCTAACATTGCAAAATTAATTTTGCAATTTACCTACAAAAACGTCGTTGTGTTGTCATAACCCCTCCCTTCTAGCGGCGCTCTTGACAGTGGTGTATCTTTAATAGGGGGCAGGGGCACACAAAAAAATGGCGCAAAAACGCTAAGAAAAAGAAAAGAGAAAGTTAGATAAGGAAGAATGATTACACTACATGTGCCCCACTATACTTTGTAAATTAAAATTAGAAATGATTTTATTGCGCGTTTAAAATGTGAACATTTTCTTAAGATCCGTGGCTTCGCTCTCTCGTTCAATCATTGTTGCTTCAAGATCTCGTAATATTTTGCTTGATATTCCTCACTTAAGAAATCCAGCCATCTGATTGGTCGAAATTGGAGTCGTGATTTTAGCCATCCCCATAAAGAAACGAAAAATGCCAAAACCGATGAATAGTCCAAGAATGAGATCCCTCAAAATTCCGGTTACCGGAAAAATAATAAAATTTTGCTGCGATACCGTTGGTTTACGTGTTAAAATGTTCTTTGAGCGAGCGCGCACACTATATACAGTGCTTTTTGTCTGCAATTTCCAACTAATCGAAATTTCAGTCATTTTTCAGGCGGTGATAAACGGACAGTTTCTCAGATTTTCCGTGATTTTTTTCCCCAATCTTGGTAGATTTTTGTTTGAATTCGGCATATAAAAGGGATATCGATTAATTAGGTTCTCGTTGCCTTGCTCCCTGTTATACAAATTGGAACAGCCTATAGTTCTTTTTCTTCCTCTTCTTCCTCTTTCTTCCTTTCTTCACCTTCTCCTACTTATCATTATTATATTATGCTCTTTACTCTTTGTTTCTATTTTTCTTTTCTTCTCAAATTCACTCTCCTTGTACGTCTCTAGAATATCATACTACTCCGTTTTCGCCTCCTCAGACCTACTATATTGTGTTACTCAGTACGGGAGCCTATTCACATACAAGCTAAGCTTTTTATTTAGGCTCCACACATTTTACAATCTTCTTTCTACATTATTTCGAAATTTCGTACTTATTTTCCGTATATTATATTCGATTTGAAATCTTTAAATTTGTTCTTCTTTTTCTTGTGTGAAATCTACTCTTATAATAATATACGCCTGTATAAAAAAAATATATACATATATATATATATATATATAGGCCTATATATATATAAACTGTTTTTCTATGGAAAAAATGGGGAATATATATATGAAATAAATAGAATAAAATAATAGTTGAATAATATTGCACCCGAATAATTATTAGGGTACTTGTATAACAATAGCATTTGCAAGGTTCAGTTCTTGAAAGAAATCTTAACATTTATTCCTCGACACAATATCTCCTGGGTTTTCATTAATTTCGCTCCCCATTTGAGCGAGAGGTGAAAAAGAAATCTGCTCGAAAATTCGAAATGACATGTACTTGATTGCAGTGCATCCTTGCAAATTTTCTTTTTTAAAGTGAACGTCAATCGCATTTTTTAAGGGTCAGAACGCAAAAAATATTCAGCTCTCTCGCTTGTAAAGAAGCTTAGATAAGTTCAGGCGGGGGCGCAGTTTCATTTTGACTCGGACACCATTATTTTGAGATAGCTTCTTCTGAATCAGTCATTCTTTTATTTGCATGAACGCTTTTAATTGTTTTGATGGTGTTTTAGAGGGAAAGTCCCGTTAGGTCATTGCGAATCAGCCAATCACATTGCGATGTTTGTCAGTCGACAAAAGTAATTGTTCGGTACCCTTGGTATTGGCGTGTTCGCGTTCCATTAAACTAGTTTCGTCATAATAACTGGTATATTTGGTGCACGCAGTTTTCGAAACCTCCATTTTGTTTGATTTCTGTCATTCTGGAATTTACTTACGTTAAGGAGACTCGTTTTGGTTACTTTTCGTATAGAGGAAGTCAATATAGTGCGAATCATGCTGGAAAATATTTCTAATCTGGTTTTGGTTGTTTGTCTAGCAACTAGTGTGGCAGGCCTGCCGCAGCCCAGGGGAATTATCTGGCCGCCCGGCCGCCGCGGCGGCCGCGCGTCAGGAGGGCCCGCGGGGAGGATCAAGAGACAGTGTAAGATTATATTAAACTCTACATCTTTTAGTTATCCGTATTATCCTTGTGTAGTGCAGCATTGTAATTTTGAACATTATTCCAATTAGTAGAACAATATACTGGCTGATCGGCTGTATGTATGATAGGCGGCAATAACCGTCTGGTATGGGAAATTCTTTGATAAAACTGACATTTATCAACCTTCCTAATAGAGTGAAATAATTTAAAACAGCTTCAATATAAAATATTGTACATGGCACATGTCTACATGAGGCAGAAGAAAGTTTTTACACAGTTTTTACACCGTTAGATTTCAAACTCTTTTTATTTTCCATCTCTGGAGGGGCATTATGTCAGGGGGTCTTAATTGTATGTTTCCGTGTCGGAATCTTCTCCCCTGCCAATCGGCATTGCGGATCGAGTTATGTAATAAAATGTTATGACACTTTATATTCTTTCAATATGTTAAATTGTTTCAATTTCTGTTTAGGAGATTTCACTCTCTGTTTTGGTAGATTATATCAGGTTTATCTCTTTTAAGCGTGTTGTTTAGTCTGTGTTATCCCTCCTTTAATTTTCTTTCCCATTCCTTCTCCCCCCCCCCCCCCTCTCTCTCTCTCCTTCTCACCCTCTCTCTCTCTCTCTCTCTTCCTCTGCCTGTTCTCTGTCTGTTCGCTGTCTGTTCTCGCTGACTTGTCAATATTCATATAATACTACTCTTGATTTTAACAGTTAATATCAACCAGGATTCCGACCCATATGGTCAATGCGGGGAACCCAGCATGCCAATAGCTCATGGAGGCATAAAGCTCTTCCCTATTACTGACTTTGACGATATTTATGATAACTCCTGTAATAATTACGGAGGCCAATCCAACTTTCTGATGTGTCAACCAAAGTTCTACTGCAACGAAGGCTACGAAGTCAAGGGCAATGTTGATCTTGAGTGTGTGGAGAATGAGGCGACAGGTGTATACAAGTGGGAAGGAGACATCCCTACTTGTGTTACCGAACAATTCTCGGGATATTTAATTATCTGTATAGGTATGGAACACAGCAATTTACTTTTTCTGGAAAACTTTGAAACTTTCTTTCCTTCCCCCACTAGATTTTAATTCGATTCCACATAAATCATTTATCTTTATCTCTGATTACACACTATGATTATATTTTATTTAAGGGAGAAAACTCTCTACATATTTGTGTTATTTGACTAGAATGTCTCGTGAACCGAGGCGCGATGTTCGATGTGCAAGGAACACTTAATTTGTAAGAATCAATCAAGTACGCAAAAAGAATCTTTTCTCCTCAACAACGCGCTAGAATTGTAGTTCACTTAAATTAATGGTCACGATATGAATGGCGCTGGAATTTACGTTCAAAGTCAAAGTCTATAGAATGAATTAATACACGAACAAAGATGATTTGTTACAGTAAACTAACCGCCTATTGTTGATAATGTGCCATTATATATATATTCGATCATGAAGTTCTTATACACGCAATAAAGTGAGGAATAGATTGCCATGCAAGGATGGGGGGAGCAAACTTAATTCATACGCTACTGAAATAAAGTACAACCGTTTACTGTTGTGTGGCCCCAGCAATACTTTTGAGAACTTATTTATTTATTTTTGTAAATACAGATTGATAATTGGTTTGTACAGATTTCAATGTTGATTGCTGTTGATGTTACGTGATATTTAAGGCCTGTCAAGAACTTGACATTACATACAAGTCTATCCTAGACCTTGTTAAGAGATTTATCAATACCCTATTCCCAACCATAAATCAAACCCTTATAAAACCAGACTTTCAAATTGAAAGCATTTGTTCCCTCTTGAAACGCCGAACATACCCCGGTGTGTGCAGCTGAATATACAATGGCGTCTTATTTTGTTTACAAGCGGCAGATTCCTTTATTTTTGTATCGCTGCATTTGTCAACAAAATAAAACCATACGCGGGGTTTAGAGTAAGGCAATAAATTATACATTAGCCTGACGGTAGTGAAGTAAGAGAACGAACTCAAGAGAAGATTAATACACAGGCACTGAAAATGTGTGAGATATCATGGGACATCGTCTGCTTGTGCAAGTCATGTCCAAATTGTGATCTCACACATCTCAGCAGCGTTCGGAGAGCTCTTCAGGTGCTATGCCGGGGATGTATTTAAGCGTTTTGTAATTTATAATAATCATTACTTCGAATGTTTCCCAGCATTGAATTTTGATAACCTTGTCGAATCAAAGTTTCAACTTTGCAATAATGAAAATAAAGTTAGTTTTTAAAATCAATGAATATCTACTTTAACATTTAACACCTAGCACTCGCCTTAACTCTGGCCGAACACCCTATATTTTCTGCTCGTGCAATAATTATTGACGATAATTATATGCCATGAACATTCTCTCCGGTGACGATACATGTAAAGTCTGATAATGTTCTGACGGGTAACAATCATTTTCCAGCATGACATCGTTGCACAGATGATACGTTTAGCAAGATGGTGATATCTAATGGAACCCCTCTCTAACGTAAACAAGTCAATACAACGAGAATACTGTAATGATGTACAGTCAAACCTGTCTACAGCGACCACCCAAGGGAAACACAAAAAGTGGCCTTTGTAGACAGGTGGTCTTTGTAGACAGGATCCTTTAGTACATGATTCAATGAGAAACCATTTTCAAGGGAAACAACAAATGTGGCCTTTGTAGACAGGTGATCACTAAAGCAGGTTTGACTGTATAACGCATAAACTAGTCATGATAAAAGAGATTTCTTAATTGTTCATTTTGTCTTTCCAACAGTTGTCCCAGTGGTTCTTGTGGTGAGCATCATTTCCGCCATGATACGGTAAATATCATCGGTTAATATGCTTTCTGACTCTAGAAGAATCCATTTATCCCTTGTCTTGTTAAATATCAACTTAAATGTATTACATTTGAATAATTTTGAAAGGCTTACTGCCGTACTGTTTTATAAAAAATATTCAACTTATGCGTTTTTGTCTAAATTAACATCTTTTATTCTATTTCTAGTTTCAATGAGTACATAATATTTCCTTTTACGATTTATTAAACATTTCAATCCTAGAAAAATAGATGTGATTATAACTAGATTTAAGATAGATATACAGGTCTAAACTTACTGATGATAGTTTCCTACTTTGATACAACATTTACTTTCATCATGACCATTAATTCTGTACGTGGAAATGTGGGATATATGATACAGAAATTGGTGGAAGGGAAATAGGTATAATTCATCATCTAGTTATAGAGAAATTATTGTCTGCATGCTGGGTACTTTAAGCAGCGCCTCAGTTTAGTGATCGATGTTCTTTTATTTGTCTGCGAAAACGAAACTGTATTGTGTAAATTCTAAAGAAGGGCCAAAAGATCGGGTATTCATAAATTGTATGGTGATCGTTAACCAAATATCATTTTTGTAAGCGGAATGGAATAGGAGCAAAGTACACCCATTCAAATATTAGCTGTCTAAAGCCACACCCGACTGCCTCTTTTGTGTCCTAGTATGACGATTGAGGTTTTGTTGTAGGCACTGCAAACCACAATCAATACAGGAACAGGGAACTCTTGTTGGAAAATTCATACAATATTCGTGAGGAACTGTTTGTTCAGATATTGTTGACTTGTGAAAGAGACTGTTCGTGGATAACATAATGAAAGCTAGTTTTGGGGTAAAATACATCACATTCAGATAATATGTGTCGGAGAAAACTATAATAACCTTTATTCCCCTTTTTTCTCGTTTATTTCCATTTCCAACAAAAATAAAATAATTCTGGGATTGCATTGTACATAGTAAAACAACGTCATGCTTCACCACAAGTCTTCGTTAAGGCAATATTATCAGATTATATTGAAATATCAGAGTGAAAAGGAAAAAGAATCCCTCATCTGCCTCTAAGAGCTTCAATGCCCGACCGCTTTTCTCTATTATAGGCCTACGCAGGGGGTGTTTTGGGGGTTACGCCCCCCCCCCCTCAATTAAAAAAAAAAGTGACGATAAGGTATTATTATTTCCAACAGACGAAGAAGTGTCAGGTCTAGGTCTACTCAGCGACGATGTGTTTCCCGTACCACGATCGTCATTCCTCCGTCATCTACCGTGCCGACTGGACGTTCGATCTTGTCCGGAGGACCACCACCATACGAACGCTTTGATGACAGTAACATCAACGTTCCCCGAGAGGGGACTATTCTAAGCACCGGGACTACACCAAACACTCAAGCCAAATAGGTTTAGTATCATTCCTCCGTATATGTACTCTCAAATGAGACTCTGTCATTAAACAAAAATTGTTCTGTAAAAACATTACTAGATTTAGAACCACATTAGGTTGCACGCGAAGACACCGTGATAAGCAGAATCATTTTATTGTCTCCAAGCGCTTCCCAGTTTTGTATTAATCTATCAGTATAACTTATTGCTTGGTGACAAAAACATTTTGATAAAGGCTATGAATGACATGTATCCATATGTGTATGAGAAAATACCAAACAGACACCAAATACTAAACCATATTGTTGTAAAAGTGACCTTGCCTATAATAATGATGTATAATGACATTACATTTAATAGGGAATGTGCATGTTGGCGTGTAGACAAAAACTTCTGTTATATCTTAATAGAGATATATTCTCTTTTTCTGTCTCTTTCTCCCTTTGTTTTTATGCATACGTTCGTTAACAATTTTATACCCATCTTTATATATCTGTCACTATTTCAGGTAAAGCATTTTGACTGATCTAGCGTTGTCTTCCCCACTCTACTAGGACACAATTTGAATAATGCTGTAGTCTGATAGTGAGTAATACACGTCCAGCAAACACTGAAAAACACTGTCATTCTAACCTAACAAAATAATTATTCTTATTTTACTAATTATCAAAGTTCACCAATTTCACCCAAATATGATGAACACTGTTTTAGATGTAGTCTGAAATATAATAAATAACATTGGCACTTCTCTTTCTGTAGACTGAAAAAGGGATATTGCTCGTTTAATGGAACGCGGATTAAAATTGGGTGTCGGGAATTATACAGTACAGGTATCTCATATTGTTGTTGGCAAGAATAGGTACCTTTTACTTTGTAATGTCGTCAACTTTTAAAAATAAGCAATTGCTTGAAACATTTTTACAAACTTTTGAAAGGACGAAATCAAAGTTGCGTTAATTATTAAGTTTATATCAAAACAAGTGCTTGGTCAGGAAGACAATTTGTATAATTGTATATATTGTTGGTGATGTCATATTTCGCTCTTCAGTGTAAAACGTTTTTGTTTTGTGATTATTTACCCAGACTAAAGACATGAGGATACATAATTAAGATTGTGTCAATGGGCAGCGTTTTGTATATCTGGTTTAAAAATTGTTATTTGAATAAAAAGTGGTATATCCATTTGAAGAAGAAAAACAATTTTTTTTTTACATGATTAGAGATCGGTTTTTTAATCAAAGTTTAAAACAATGTAATCAATGCGGGATGAAATAATGAATTCCGTTTATATTTGCAATGCCTGTAAACTTTTTTATATGCCTAATAGGCCTTTAAGTAAGATAACATATGCATCATTTTTTATGATTATGTCATTATGTGTGATATGTAGAACTTCTACATGGATGTAATGCTTTAAAGTCACAGACATCTCATAGTCTTTTCCACGAAGTAGTTTCTTTATATGCTCATCTCTCAATTCAATTGTGAACGTCATGTTAAGGCTGAAAATAAAGGGCTATAGGCTTACTTTTTACAACTTTGTAAATATTATATCATAACGAACCAGTAGGGCAATTTTAGACTCTTTGGAAGGGTTAGCAATTTTTGTTGGCGCCCATCAGTCTGTTTCATATGTATGTCTTTTACTATTCTTTGAACCAATAATTTGTTAATTTCCATAGTTCTTACGCCTTCACTCTTTACCCGCCCGTCACGGCCTGATGAATCTCACCATAGGTGACCATGAGATTATGATTCAGTGTAGAGGGTTTATTCAGGCCTCTGATTAGATGATACATTCTTGTAATAAACAAAGATAAATAAATAACCAAAAGGTTACGAATTCATTTCTTTGGGCAAATGAATGGGCTATATGAATGGGCTATAGCGAGAGATTGTGATTGTCGGTGAATATTTGATGATTGGAGGTACATGACTGTTGTGTGGGTAAGGGACAGACCAAAACAGTGAACAGAATGTATAAGAGTTAAAGCTGCGGAAAGGTAAGAGAAATAAGGGAAGTGATAGAGAGGTGTAGAAGGGATAAGACCGTCACTATATCCTACAAGGAAAAAAAGACAAAGCTATTACAGAGAGAGAAAAGAGAGAAAAGGAGTGTTGATAGGCAGATTATTACAATGTATGCAATGGGCATCATGTGACATCCTGCATATTTTGCCACGTAACCATCAACGTGATATTAGCAACTGAACTTGGTAATACAATATTCACCATATCAATGCCGCCATCAAGAGGCGTTGGGTGTTAAGGAGTATTCGTTTAATGAACAAAATACAATTCTCGGTTTATTTCTTATTCTTTTTTAGTTTCTCCACCTCCATCCTCTTCTTATTTTTCCTTCTTCATTTTTTTCTCTTTAATTGCCTTTCGTTCTTTAAATCAACATCATAATGGATCACATAACTGTTCGAGCATTATGTTCCAAATAATGCTACATTTGTGTGTGTCGGAATTTTTAATCAAAGGTTTCATCAACAATCGGTGTAACAAGTAGAGATCTTGTAATATTCAACATTGATTTTCCTTAAAAGTAATACAAAGTTTTGGGAAATTTTGAAAATTGGGTGGATACTGATTCTTTACAATTTTGATATATTTGGATGCCCCTGTGCAGGGGCGTAAATCCGTACCGAGGAGTGGGGGAGATGATCGGCGATAGCCATCATATACTAGCACGAGCACACGCCCACACTAATTTACGCAAGCGCGCGCGATAGCGCACGCACAAACACACAACGCACACACACACACATACACACACACACGCTCGCTCATTAGGGGTGTGTGGGTGATAGGCCTACCGCGCGAATCGCGGAAGCTTAGACGTTTTCTTAAATTATTAGTAAAAGAAGACGATTTATTGTATCGTTCTCTACTGTTAACCCTTGTCTAAATGAGTCCCCCCCCCCCCGCGCGAAACGCGAAAGCTTTGGCGTTTCATTAAATTATAATAAAAAGAAGACGATTTGCTGTACCGTTCTCGACTGTAAATCCTTCTCTGAATTCAGTTCCCCCCGGCCCCCCCGGCCCCCCCCCCCTTCCGCGCGGAAGTTTTGGCGTTTCATTAAATTATTAGAGAAAGTAGACGATTCGTTGAACCGTGCTCGACTCTTAATCCTTGTATGAATTCAGTTTCTCCCTCTCTCTCTCCTGCACAAAGCGCGGAAGCTTTGAAATTTCATTAAATTATTAGAGAAAGTAGACGACTTGTTAAACCGTGCTCGACTCTTAATCTTTGTCTGAATTCGGTTTACCCCTCCCGCGCAAAGCGCGAAAGCGCGAAAGTTTTGACGTTTCATTAAATTATTAGAGAAAGTAGACGATTCGTTGAACCGTGCTCGACTCTTAATCCTTGTATGAATTCAGTTTCTCCCTCTCTCTCTCCTGCACAAAGCGCGAAAGTTTTGACGTTTCATTAAATTATTAGAGAAAGCAGACGATTCGTTGTACCGTTTTCGACTCTTAATAAGCCCTATTTATCTGAATTCAGTTTCCCCCTCTCGCGCGAAGCGCGGAAGCCTTAACGTTTCCTTAAATTATTAGAGAAAGCAGACGATTGGGTGAACCGTTCTCGACTCTTAATTCCCGTCTGAATTCAGTTTCTCTTTCCCGCGCGAAGCGCGAAAAGCTTAGACGTTTGATTTAATTATTATAGGAAGAAGACGATTCGTTGCACCGTTTTCGACTTTTAATAAGCCCTATTTATCTGAATTCAGTTTCCCCCTCTCGCGCGAAGCGCGGAAGCCTTGACGTTTCCTTATCGTGACATACTGTATACGTGTAGGCTATACAGTTATACATACATTTAAAAAATAACTCATTTTTCATGCATTATGCTGAAATTGAAACAATCACATTTTTTTTTCTTCTTCTTCATCCTTTTTTTCCCTCTATTTTTTTTTGTAATATCAGGGGGGGGGTGTTTGTACAGGCCATCCCCCTACTTCAAGCCAGGGGGATGCAGCCCCCCCCCCCCATCCCCCCGGGATTTACGCCCCTGCCCCTGTGGATGTTTTATAAGCACTAGAAATATTAGCCCCTAAAACACAAATTTACCGGTGCTCCCGGTAAATGTTTTTATAAATTTCAAATAGCACCTACGGCCGGACAATGGTTAGCAGAGACCATGAAAATCTCAGAACATGTAGCAGTAGTTGTGATATATAATTTCCAAACGAGAATAGCTAATCGGTCGATTTTAGTCAAGAAACATTTTTTATAGCTTAATTAATATCTTGACCTTGAGAGGAAGCTATACAACATAAAGAGTTTATTATTTACAATTTCATAATTTCAGAATAGATTTCAATCACGACAACGATCACTGAATATTATAGGATCGCATATGTTTCCAATATGTTCATTTGAACTAAATTCATGAACCCATACCAGAACTTTGTATTAACTTTAGTAGTTTTTCTGCCTCATGAGGGAGAAGAAAATAATAATCATTGAACATATCATAGATATCAAGGGCAAAGCATGGGTCCAGACTTTAAGGGGAGCACCAGTATCACGGCCAGGGGAGTGTTTCACAAAGATCCTAAGTTGAACTTATCTCTAAGTTGGACTTAACAGTTATGGAAAGCCGTTGGCATCTATGGAAATATTTTGTAAAAGTTATTTTAAAGGCATAAAATATTGATTCAAATCATTCCTATTTTCTTTTATCAAGGAGATTTCATGTTCTTGATGTGGAATTTGCGAAAAGTCTAAAATACTTGAATTTTCGCTTTTGAATATATTTATTTTAAGGCTACTACAAAATGGCTTTCCATAATGTTTAAGTCTAACTTAGAGTTAAGTTCAACTTAGGATCTTCGTGAAACACCACCAGGTCTAAACGATGAATAAATGCAAATTACAAGGCCATTGGGGGAGAATGTGGGAGGGGTCCTAGCATCTGCTCCCCTTCCCTATCCTGGCCCCCCCCCCTCTCTCTCCCTCTTTTTCTGTCTGTCCGTCTCTCTAGTTTTCATGATGGCTTCCAGTATTTATTAAACGAAGCAGTATTGAATATGTGTTTAGATTTATGGGAAGTATGTCGGCGATTTTTACAGTTTGAGTCTTCGGGTTATTTTACAGTATCAAAATATGATATTATATCAATTTATAAATTAAGATAAATAAATGAAATCAAAACTTGTCCACACAATTTTTGCATCATATTGCAGAAAATTGGCCTGAAAAGGTTGAACATGGACGAGCACCCCCTCCCTCACACACATACACACACATACACTCAAACGGTTCCAGGTACCTATGCCTTCATCAGTCCTCCCCCCCCCCTCCATTTAGCCTCCGTGTCTTTAAGTCACTGATTATGCCATTCAACCATATAGTACTGCGTTGTAGAACTATGTCCCTTCTATTTCACCAGTATAATTGAATTTCTAATTCGTTTTGCGACTTCTTTACTGTACCCAATTGGCAGATTAAAGGTCGGTTGTTTTATCTTCTTTTTTTGTTTATGTTTATTTGCGTTCTGTAGGATGATTATCCTACAGGAGTAAAGGTCATTTTGAACGTGTACATGGTTGCAGCACGATAATTCTCTCGCGTTTAATTCAAACCCCCGCCTTTCAGGATGCACTTTAATTGAGATTGAGGACCGGTGATCACCGAATCTACCAATTTTTAAGGAAGGTATAGTTCTGTTTCAAGTTTTATATTGAGTGATGTAATATCAAGATGCATGTAATACAGGAAAGGCTTTATTTCATTAGACCTACTAAACATACGTTACAAGAAGGGTAAACGGATTTATTTGTTGATGTCTATACAATAACTGGGTATTGAAAAGAAGGTTAAGATGATTATTATGCCGTAAGACTCAAAAGTTTATGTTCCGATACGGTACGGATTTGTGTTCTGTAAAGCTGAGTATATGATAATGTCAAGACATTCTGTTGCAATTTGTGTCAAAAAGTATTTTTATCGTAATTTTCATGTCTGAATAGCCCTCCACTATCAAATTTGAAAGGGGTGTTTTGTATCCTAACCTATCATATGAAGGACTTTTTCATGAGTTTGATGTCTTTTTAAATAGTGTGTGTGTTTTATCTTCATCAGATATATTGAAAATAAATCTAAAGATGCATCGTTGGAGTGGAAGAGTTGCCTTGGTAACGGGTGCATCAGAAGGAATAGGAGAGGCCATCTCACGTCTTCTGGTCAAACATGATATGAAGGTGGTAGGATGTGCACGAAACCTGGACAAGTTAAAGGTCAGTCCAATAATGATCCCACCTATGTATTTGTATGCTGATTATTGGCTGTCCATTCTCATACATTAGTGTATTCAGTGCTCAGCATTGCATATCCGAATAAATGTCATGATTAAGCTTCCATGGCGTCGTTAGGAAATGAAGTACTCATTTTATTCATCTGAAATAAAACTTAATAAATAAATAAATAAATGCTACATATGAGGGTTTAAATCATAGGCACTGAAATCAACAAAACATTGTTGATTTACTCCTTGATTGCTCTGAGTGGTATGGTAATGTCCAAAGTCCTTTGGAAGCTTGTAGAAACGTCATAACATATTATACTATGCGCTATACAAGAACGGAACAGTATTAACATTATTAATATCAGTGTTTCAGCTATAACATCACGATTTGAAGAGTCGGAGAAGGTTTAAGAGATAACAAAATATATTGTATCATCTACTGAAAATAATGTGGATATCTTTCCTTGTTATCATTTTGTTTTTATCTCGTATACTCACTCTTCTTGCTGGTCGCTTTGCTCGTTTTATTTGTAGCCTTTCATTTTTTCTCCTCCATCCCGCTTCCTCGATTTCTGCCCATAATCCCGTATATTTCACTCTTGAATATCTTATTTCTAGGCAATAGATGGTGAGTTGAAGAAAGAAGAAGGGGGCTCTTTCTTCCCAATCCAGTGTGATCTTACTCAGAGAGATCAGATCTACGCTATGTTTGAGAAGATCAAAACTCATCATGGTGGTGTAGATGTTTGTATTAACAACGCAGGGATGGCTTATCCCTCTTCATTGCTGGACGGCACACCCGAGGAATGGCAGAAATCATTAGATGTAAGTTTATCTTATTAAGAGTGTAAGCGTGTAGGTCAAACAAGAAGGGACAACGTTTTTAACACTTGATTCAACACACAATTTATAATGACTACCCCCGACAGTCGCTATAGAAAAAATATGTGTGATTTTGGATACAAAGTGCCACCTTTATTTAGCAAATCAAAAAGGAAAGGCAATATTTCGTCCAACTTAATTTAGTCCTGTTTTGTCTAATTGGAGATTGTAAAAATCATCTTGTGACAAAATAATTTCAGCATGAATTGCCCGTAAAAGGATGTGTTTTTTTTTGGTTTTTTCATGCAATGTAGGCTAATATGAAAATTAACTTTAAAACTTATTTTACATTCATGTTTGACATCTAATACGTGATTGTTTTTTGTTTTTTGGTCAGTTAAATGTGATTGCTCTGTGTCTATGCACCAAACTGTCTGTCCAACAAATGAAAGAGAGAGGAGTTGACGATGGGCACATCATTCTACTAAACAGGTTTGAATTTTAATTGGTGTTGTATTTTTAACAATGAACGGGTGAATCAAAAGATGGGCTTCAGAGGTCGTGGCCCCCTATAGTGAGGAAATAATTTTTGAAAATGTGTACAATTCTGGTGCAAATATTGCTCCAACAATGAAAGGAAGAGAAAGTCTAATCCCTATCCATATCTCCTTTGGTCTATTCGATGAGGGGGCGGGGCGGGGGCGGGGGCGGAGGTGGGGCCGGTGGGGCCGTGGGGGGGGGGGGGGAAGGCGGGGAGCCCAGCCGTCTCCCTGCATGTAGCATATCCATGCACTTACCGCATGATATACAAACCAAAACTGTTTAAATCAGTATCAATCAAAATGGACAAACTCAAAATGTAAAAACAAGATAAAGAACGTGAGAAAGCTTCCAACGAATGTCAGTTGAAATAATGTGATTTTAATTGTATGTCAATCTACTTATCTTTCTTTCTTTTAATCGTGTTTTCAGTATGGGAGGACATCGTTTGATACAAGGTAGCAATTATTTGCACTTCTACGCTGGTACGAAACATATGGTGAAAGCATTGACAGAAGGCTACAGGGACGAGTTGAGACAGAAGAATTCTAAGATCAGAGTCTCGGTAATTACATATACATCTTTGATTGCGGTCGGAGAGCCCCTTTGGTTGATTAGCCCAAAGCAAACATAATATAATTCATACCTATATTGTCAATAAGAAACAAACAGACCAACGAATAAAGGTGGTCAATCTGTAAAATAGTTAATTGAGATCAATGATGTTTTTTTCTTCTGTTAATGTGAATGATGAATATAAAGTTAAGAATTCTAATTAACCCTTTCATGTTAGGTTTCGTCGGACAACCATTCAATATTAAGGTACTCGTCTTAAAACAAAAGCAATTCAATATCACCCCTGAAGGGAAAGTATATGTTCACAGAAAAGGATATTAGACCAAATCTATGTTAAGAAGGTACGCATGTATACGTGTAACCCTATGAGTTACATGATTATAATATCTGAAACTTATTTATTTACACTCACACCACTGCTGAAAATGTGTTTCCTGCTCTTACTACTGCGATATAATTGAGTTTGAGTTTTGAGTTTGAATTTGAATTTTTTTTACCAAATCACTAAAAGTAACATTCATTTATAGTAAAGACAACGTGCAAACATATTATTCGGGAACAGGAATTAACAAAGCCCATATTAAATTATTTCACATTGAATGCAATCACGCAATCGTTATACGCAAATTTATTTTCATATCTTTCAAGGAACGTATATTCACTATATACAATTAAATCATGTAGCTTAATCTAAAGCTTCAGATAATCTCATCCAAACTTCATGGTAAACTGTTTATACCGATGATTATAATAATGATTTCACTGGCATGCAGTAATTATAGTTCATTATATTGTTATATAGGCTCTCTCACCGGGATTAGTAGAAAGTGAGTTCGTGGTCCGTCTGTTTGGCGATGATCCCGACAAGGGCAGAAAAGTGCTTCAAACTACACCGGTAAGATAATTGAAAAAGATCAAAAGGGGATTTTTATCTACAGATCTATCTAAATGAAAGCAATACATAAAGTAATGCTCAATTGCTTAAGGTAAAATGAAAGATAACATTGGATGCAAATTTCAATAAATTTAAGAACAGGGTATGGATTTTTGACTTCTTAGCCAGAATTGACATTTAGTATGCATTCAGTACCCTTACTCTTTATTGATTTTCATGGAGTATATTATAACACCATTTGGAATATTTGTATTCATAAAATAAGCCTTTTTTTTAATTCTCGGTTACATTTTCACCATTGACGACGCGGATTAAACAACATGTTATAGAGAAACTTATTCGCCTAAAAGTCTTAAAAGACTTATCTAAGTGAAATGTTTTGTTTTTTCATCATTAATCTTCTTCAGTGTCTTAAGAGAGAAGATGTCGCCGAACTTGTCGTAATGGTTATGCAACAACCACCAAATGTACAGGTATGATCGCATTCCGTATTTGATACAAAGTACTTTATAGATTAAAGATTTGAGAATCTGCAGCACATGTACTAGTGCAGGCGCGTACTCAGGATTTGTTCAAGGGGGGGGGGGGGGTTTAAACCTTTTTTTTAATCGGGCCGAAGATTTCGCAACGACTCAGCCAGCCGCTGAATAAGCGGGGGGGGGGGGGGGGAAGAGGACACTTTTTTTGTTGTTGAAAATTTGACATTTTGTTCCGTTGGGGGGGGGGGGAAGGGCAACTTTTTTAGGTCAGTCATTGGTATAATTTTTTTAATAATTTTTAATTTTTTTTTGATTAACAAAAACAAACAAAAACACGGGGGGGGGTTCCTCCAAAATACACACATAAAAAATACAAAAGGGGGGGTTCAACCCCCCCCCCCCCCCCCCTGCGTACGCGCCTGTACTAGACATTGTTTCTCATAGGTAACGGGTAGTTTATAAATTAAATTGGATTAAAAAAATTCATTGTCTTTGTATTTGTATTTGGCGTAGGAGTTTGGGGTTTGATACTTAAAAGATATCGTCAAAACAAAGAACTTCCCAAACACCAAATTATAATATTATACAAGATAACCCATGAGTTAAAGTGTTATCATTATAATTGTAATTTTTTGTGAGCAAATGACATGCGTTGCGTTTCATTCATATGATTGTGTAGAAACTCATACTATTGGCCCTTTCCTTAGATGTCAAGAGATATAGTTCCACTTTGAAAAATCTGTTTCTTTCTTCTTTTCAGATCCATGACATACTTGTGAGAGACACGGACCAGGTTAAATAAAGTTATAGTTTTCACCGTGCAGTATGCCTAACCAAAATGATAATGAAGATTACATCGGTTTGAACCCGGGTATGAAACCCGTGACCATATTGTTCAGCATTTAACATGTTAAGTTAGGGTGGAGCATCAAGTTAGTAATATATGTACATCTCGCTCTCTCTCTCTCTCTCTCTCTCTCTGTCTCTTTGTCTATTTATCTATCTATCTACCTCAATCTTCCTATCTATTTCTCGATATATTTGTTGTTAATGCTTATGCAGGGTGCCCCTGAAAAAGAAAACCCAAGTTTAATGGTAAATAACTCAAGAATTCTAAAATATTATTTTTAATAATTTGTAAATCATCAGAAAGCTTATTTTCTTTGGTCTCATACAAAAGAGGACTACGTGAGCTTTTTAATGATGTGTATTTTCAACAATTACCAATTAAACATCGTCTACTATACTTTGTTTAAACCATAATGGCACTGCACTGTGGACTGTCTTGATAGTGTATAGCATTTTTGATGCATGACTATATCTTTGTTTTGATTGTTAATTGTTTGTTACTGTGTTATGTCAACTCAACAATTATTTTATTGATTTTTGTATAAGTGTATTATGTTATATATAATTATGTGTATCGCAATACCATGTAACACAACGAATTTCCATTGTTAAATGGACAATAAATATGAAGCTTATGAACCTTATGACTTTGATGTCATGTGAAAGAGGAATAATAAGCTTTCCAATCATATTAACATTACTAAGGATTATTTTGATATTATTGAGTTATTTTCCCATTAAAGTTGAGTTTCTTTTTTTCAGGGACACCCTGTATGATTCATTTTGAGTACCTGGTAAAGATGGGGATATATCCCTATATATGAGACGGTTAGCATGAAAATCATCTTATAAAAGTTTAAGAACATACCTTTCGCTAAACGTCGATCAAAATCATCAGACAAAATCAAGAGGTTTTATTTGACCATTTTTAACGACGTGGGTCATGAAGTAATGGATGGTTTTAATGACTGTTCGCTCAAAATCTTATGTGTTTAGGCGCACATGATAAACAGCCCCATCACCCCCCCCCCCCCACCCAGGCACGGATCCAGGGGGGCCAAGCGGGCCTTGCCCCCCCCCCCCCCGCAAAAAAAAAGAGAGAAGAAAGGAAAAGAAGGGAAAGTGAAAGAGGAGAGAAAGGGAAAGAAAGAAGAGGAAGAAGAAAAGAAAAGGGGGAAGAAGGAGATCGGGGGCCGAAAGGGCCTTGCCTTCCAGGCTGTCGACCCCCCCCCCCCCCAACCAAATAAAATAAGAGAGAAGGAAGGAAAGGGAAAGAAAAAAGGAAAAAAGGAGATACTGGCGTACTGATAGGGGGGGGGGGCTTGGGAGAATCAAGTTCAAACGTGGTTTATTTCTAATTCCATAACGGTGGATTACAAATAATGCTAAAATGACACCATTTCCTGACTTTTTAGTAAATTACACTTTTGTATGTGTTTGTTGTAAAATGACGAATTCCTAAATTTACAGCCAGGTTCCCCTAAAATCGCAGGCCAAAAAAAGAAAAAAAAAGAAGAAAGAGGACGTAGGAAGAAAAGGAGCTGACGAAAGTCATCTTTGAAATTCAGACAAGGATCAAGAGTAGAAAACGGTACAACGCATCGTCTTCTTTCTCTAATAATCTAATGATTTGTAAGAGCAGGAGGGGTGAACCTGAATTCAGACGAGGATTAAGAGTCGATAACTGTACAACGAATCGTCTTCTTTCTCTAATGATTTAATGAATCGTAAAAGCATCCGCGTTTCGCGCGGGAGGAGGAAAAATGAATTCAGACGAGGATTATTTAAAAAGTCGAGAGATGTACAACAAATCGTCTTATTTCTCTAATGATTTAATGAAACTTAAAAGTTTTCGCGCTTCGGGGAGGGGAGGGGGACCTGAATTCACACGACGATTAAGAGTAGAGAACTGAACAGCGAATCGTCTTGTTTCTCTAATGATTTAATGAAACGTAAAAGCGGAGGGGTAAAAACTAAATTCATATGAGGATTATTTTCGAGAACGGTACAACGAATCGTCTTCTTTCTTTAATGATTTAATGAATCGTAAAAGCTTCCGCGCTTCGCGCGGGAGGAGGAAAACTGAATTCAGACGAGGATTATTTAAAGCGTCGAGAACTGTACAGCGAATCGTCTTGTTTTTCTAATGATTTAATGAAACGTTTAAGCATCCTGAATGGAGATGGAGAATGGGGAGATCCTGAATTCAGACGAGGATTAAGAGTCGAGAACTGTACAACGAATCGTCTTCTTTCTCTAATGATTTAATGAATCGTAAAAGCATCCGCGTTTCGCACGGGAGGAGGAAAACTTAATTCAATCGAGGATTATTTAAAGAATCGAGAACTGTACAACAAATCGTCTTATTTCTCTAATGATTCAATGAAACTTAAATTCAGACGAGGATTAAGAGTCGAGAACTGTACAACGAATCGTCTTGTTTCTCTAATGATTTAATGAAACTTAAAAGTTTCCGCGTTTTGCGGAGGAGGGAGGGGAAACTCGCCCCTCTCTGCACCCACCCCCCCCCCGCATTACGTCACTGCTGGTTACCATTACGTACCAATATTTGGCTTGCATAATTTCAAATTTGGGCCTCCCCCCCTAAGAAATCCTGGATCCGCGCCTGCCCCCACCCCCGAATTTTATAAATCGCAATATTCAAGCAATCATCATTACATATTTTGGCAACCATAACCTCATATTCGGACAGAGGGGCATAAAGTCTATTTTAAATTCCTAAATCCTTTTAGATTTATATGACAATATCATATTTTTTTACTAAATAAGGTGTCGCTATATATATCTTTCTCGCGCACATAGTTGGGGGACAAAAGGCGTCAGTCTCCTCGCTTTCAAAAGATAAACTGTGTTTGATATGTATTTGAATATGTACATGTATTCCGTGATTGGTTATATTCGCTTCTTGTAGGTTGTAACTAAAATTTCAACAACTTTTTCTTGAATCTCAATTTGTCGTCAATGAACGTTATATTGAGCTGAATTTTATAGGTTCCGATCTTGTTATCATCAGTAACACGTTTTAACACTTTTCATGAAAATACATTTACATTATTGTATGGATAGGACAAAGGCCTACATATTGACATTTATCTTAAGTGTGTACAGCGAATGTATTTGAATAGTATTATGAACATGCAGTGTAAGACCTACCTTTAGTTCGCAACCCTGAAGTTCATAAATAGTGAAGAATGAATGATCTGAATAAAGTATAGCAGTTTCTGCATTTCTTTAAATCATCTTCCTGTTTGATAATTCTAAATAAAGCCTTCGGTTGAAAAAGACATCATGTTATGCTCTCGTGTGTTTCAATTACATCACTTCACTCTTCAACCAAATTATGGTTTAATTAATATGTATAATGATCTATGAACGGATGAATATATTTCATTACCGATGATTTTATATTTTGGAGTGAAATGTTTCATCATAGTTATCAATCAGTCGTAAAATGTCCGCCGTTATCCTAATAACCACGTCTCTTCCATTGAGATTGATGATATATGCAAGTCTTTCGACGCAATCGACTGCTGCTGTTACTGTCTATCAATAGCGCCAGCACATTGTTTTAGCGTGCTCTTGTGTGAATATCACTGGTGTGTATTAGCAAGGAGAGTGAGAGAAGCACCTGAAATGGTGTATGAATGCACCTGTTCGTCGAGCTTGTCCATACCATACACACACTACATAAATTAGATCGCAATTTAACAGCAGACGGCATACGTTAATAACGTTACCATAGCGCACAAATTCTTCGTCAGAAGACTTTGAAACGAAACATCCGGGAAGAAAAATCCGAGCAACATGACAATGACGTGAAAAAGGAGACTAGATCCCCATGCAAAACAAACCGTGGGAATTAAGTTTGCTTTTTTCCATTTTGACCTTGCTGGATAAGGAAAAGATCGTGGACCTTCAATCGCTTTGGAAGGAGGGGATCGATAGGAGTTGGTGCTCAAGGCTGTGCTTTATCCAGCTGATTTAACTGTGAGTCTGTGGATCACGAGGCCGACGCACCCGGCTAATCTAGCCGATTTACCACCGTTATTGGTTTCGTGGTTATGCTGTTTGACCTTGCCGGTTGCCAAGGGCGTGTATTATTGGACTACACCATTTCGTATACATTCTGGAATATTCAGCAATGCCAAAGCAGGTTAGTGTGAGTTGGTGATATAGCTAGAATAAAGCTAGAACAACATAACATTGAACAAATCCATTTTGGATTAGATATCAATAAAGTTACTAATTTATTCATATTATGTCACAATGCAATAAGGCCTAATATATATTTTGCAGGCTTTAGTGGTATTGAGAAATATACCATACTCAAAATTTGAATGAAAACCTCTTATAAACACCACAATTTTACTTAGTGGAAAAAATGAGTTAATGAGGTAAAAACGAAAGTATTTTCATATCTTGATTAGATGTGTACAGTACGCCTACCATGCAAAGAGAATGATTGTCTATTTCCTTTTTGCAGTACAGAGAGTAAAAAAAAAAGGGGGGGGGGTAGAGATCATTCTAATGAGCAGTGGATATGTATTTGTTGAGTGTGTATGGCTAGTAATGTGGGTGAGTGGGTGTGTGTGTGTGTGTTGACTGATAATGATATTTGACTCTTTATGTTTGATGGTTTGTCAGCTTAGACTTAGAGCCATAAAATCACAACTATTCAACATGTTTTAAATAATCGTTCATGTGGCATGTATCACGTACTATCACTGAAATGAAACTTGTATCATTAGAAGCCTATACAATATTTTCCTCTCTGCAATCTTCTCTTCACAAAACCATAATTTTCATCTTCCAGAAATCTTCCAAAGGGTGAATAGGAGAGAGAGAGAGAGCCATGCAGAAAGCAATCCGTCTCGATGACTCTCAGCTTCTGATGCTAGCTGGTCGTGCTAAGACTGACTTCACCATCGCAGGCAATCTACAGAAGAAGAGTTCTGATACAGGCAAGTGGAAACAGCGCTGGTGTGCTCTCTATGAAAACCTGCTCTTCTACTTTGAGAATGAGACGACCAGTCGACCCTTGGGGCTCATCTTTGTGGAGGGGTGCTACTCGGAACATATTGTGACCCCAAGAAGCAGTGTCAAAGATGAGAAACAGGTCAGTACAAATTTACATTTAAACAATTGAAATCATCATAATTAGCATGAACATAATACAAATGATCATCCACATAATAATAATAATGATCTAAAGACTTAATTTTCAGCAATAGTTTGAAATTAGTATTAAGGCATAAATTTGTTTAATTTATACAGCTTCTGCCAATCGGCTTAAAATGACATAACTCCATATGAAGATTTGGAGCACATATGCCAAGATTTCGGATCACATTTGCAATATAAAGATTTTTTTTTTTTTAAATATGATGTGGCTGGATACTTGCTAAATTGAAATGATACTTTCTTATACTTCAGTACCGTAAATCTCCGTGTATAAGGCGCACCTGTGTATAAGGCGCATCCCTATTTCGGGGGCAAAAAAAAAAAAAAAAAAAAAAAAAAAAAAAAAAAAAAAAAAAAAAAAAAAAAAAATCGTTTTTTATTTTGTTGTTGTTGTTGTTTTGTTGCCGAAAACCCACGCGGGGAAGGACCTTCATTTTACATCGAGGTGCAGTTGAAGTTGTGAACTTGTCAAAAATAATAGTAACAACAGTCTAAGGCTTCATGATACCAAGTGTCCCACACCTGCCTCCTCACATCACCTAGCAGAAGCAAACATCAATAGTCATGCATGATATGAATAGCATCCCCTAAATTTCCGACAATGGAGTACCTAGGATAGAACCTTGTGGTACACCATTTGTTATAGAAAAAAAAATTGAGGAATTATTATTATAAACTACATATTGAGATCTATTAAAAAGATTACTTTCAAACCAGGATGACAGACAAATTTGAGTGTTGTTGTAGTTTACGAGTGGTGAGTCACCACACTGATTACTGAGCTAGGAGACATTGCCAGGCATAGCGCCATAAATCAAAACTAAAAACTTAAAAAAAAAAATTTAAAAAAAAAATTTTTTTTTTTTTTTTTCTGTACCTGTGTATAAGACGCACCCCCGACTTTCAAATTTTTTCGGCGGCAAAAAAGTGCGCCTTATACACGGAGATTTACGGTATTGTCATTAGGTGTAATCAACAGCTTCAGGAGAAAAACATTGTGCAAGTTTTGTCTTGCCATCATATTCAGAGGAAAACTTACGTACAGATGACTGAGAAAACAACAAATTATAAATGCGCTATTGCTTTCTGTGAATGGGTCATGAGTATTTTGATAATGCACCTTGTTTTGACAGTCCAGTACTTCATTATATACATGCAGATCAATTCAGTGTAATTTCTTGCTTTGTGAGATGGGATTCATAATGGTTGCAATTTGGAAATAACTAAATGCTCATATATTTAGCCATGACTAGCTAGTTCCCTACATATAAATAGATTTCAAAAATTAATTTACACAGAATTTAATTGAACTGTAATAGTGATTATGGTATTTTCATATTTTTATAACTCCTGGAAATCATCGATAGTGCCAGGTCTTTTACAGATATCAGCAATCATTGCCTTCCAGTTTCTATCCATTAGCTGCTACTAAAAGCTGGTATTGCTGATTTCAATTTTGGTTGCTCATTTATTCAGGCTTTACAAATATGTAAGACGTTGCATTTCCCTGCTTTTCTTCCCAGCAATCTTCCCTGTTACTGTTGTATTTGTCTCAAAACAATTTGGATTTGCCTCTTTCTTGTTGTGATGATGAGTGATGGTTTTACTCTCGCTCTTCTGAATGCTATGTCATTTCCTCCATCCATGATATATTCATAATCTTTCTCAAAGACCAGGGTGGTATGAGTGAAGAATCCATCCATGATATATTCATAATCTTTCTCAAAGACCAGGGTGGTATGAGTGAAGAATCCATCCATGATATATTCATAATCTTTCTCAAAGACCAGGGTGGTATGAGTGAAGAATCCATCCATGATATATTCATAATCTTTCTCAAAGACCAGGGTGGTATGAGTGAAGAATCCATCCATGATATATTCATAATCTTTCTCAAAGACCAGGGTGGTATGAGTGAAGAATCCATCCATGGTATATTCATAATCTTTCTCAAAGACCAGGGTGGTATGAGTGAAGAATCCATCAATGATATATTCATAATCTTTCTCAAAGACCAGGGTGGTATGAGTGAAGAATCCATCAATGATATATTCATAATCTTTCTCAAAGACCAGGGTGGTATGAGTGAAGAATCCATCCATGGTATATTCATAATCTTTATCAAAGACCAGGGTGGTATGAGTGAAGAATCCATCCATGGTATATTCATAATCTTTCTCAAAGACCAGGGTGGTATGAGTGAAGAATTAACATGCAGCAAACAAAATGTGTGTTTCATGCACAAATTTCATGATGTAATATTATATATTAGAAATTTCACTTTTCACAAATGTGACCATAGAATAAAGTGCATTAGCAGTGATCTGTTTTCTGGATGGGAAACCTATAAGGGAGTTTACAGATAGCACATGGTACAAGTGACCCCAAATCCACAGATCTTTTACACATGGAGAAGTTCCACTTTGAGCATCTTAGAATAATAACTGCCAAAGTCCTAGATGTGCTTCATGAATACCTTTTGTTTGCCCTCTTGAAAAGAATACTTCCCCCTGCGTATCATAGAATGTACTGTTGGTGCATAAATGAATAATGTTACATAACTTTCATCAACGCATATTCAGTATTCATCTCTGTGGGTTTTACCTTTTTGGTACAAATGACCTTTATCTGCCCATGCGCAGATTGTATCTGTAAACTCCTTATTAATTGGAAGCATATAGGACACACTGTTAATTCCATCGTTAGGCTTATATCGGGTCACCTACCTCCAATACATATTGCGATCAGTGACCCTAAAAGTGCAAGTGACATGTATGATCTTGTAAAGGAGAAGTTCACCCTGATATTAAGTTGGTTAACTAGAAGCAAGAAAATGAGAGAAAAATGTCGGTGAAAGTTAAAGCAAAATCTGATTTTAAAAAGGATAGTTATACATTTTTGAAGGTGCGATCATTCTTGCAAAAATTGGCAACTTTGTGCCATGTCTTGTGTCATGTCTTGCGATATCATAGTGGAATTCCCCTTTTAAAAAAGGCCTGTAGACATGTATGTCGTAATATTGTTAATATCATTTAATGTAGAAAATTATCAAGTCTCAATTTGCAATTGCCTGTTAAAAATAATTGTATTTGTGATTAATCATTAATTAAATTGGATATAGTACTTTATACACAATGAAGCTTAATAGAGTAGTGATAAAAGAAATAGTGATTATTTTTTTAATTTTTCATCATTACAAGAAAGGAAGGAAAAAAACGCTGGTCTTAAAACAGATTGTTGTCACAAAATATCCTTTTATTTGAAATAGTTTGATAAGTTATTCATTAATGAGTGATTTGAGTGCTTTTTGTGAATGCCTGGTTCTGAAATGATTTCAGATCCATAAAGATTTGTTAAAGCTCTCACATTCAATACCAGCAAATAAAGCAATTAACCATAAACACCATATTATGTTGGTAATACCATTGTAATTATCTGCTTTGTTGCCAAGCCTTTCTTGCCAGGAAATCAATCATAGCATGAACTCTCCTTGACAGCATTCGCAGAAAGACAGAGGAAATGAATATATATGTTATGCTCGTAAACCAACAAAGGCATATATATGATAGCTTTTATACTCCTGCAAGCTTTACCAGGGTATTGCAGCGCACACAGATGAACCATACAATATGAGAGATTGCCAATATAATAGCCAGCCACTGGACTGTATATGTGCTGCTCCACCAATTTTCCAATAAGCATACCTTCGTATCCAATCATCCACTCCTTCAAAAGACATGCAATTTACCATGTCATCTCTCTCTCTCTCACTCTCTCTCCTAGCTCTCTATCTCTCTCTATCTCTATCTCTATCTCTCTCTCTCCCCCTAGCTCTCTCTCTCTCTCTCTCTCTCTATCTCTCTCTCTCTCTCTCTCTCTCCTAGCTCTCTCTCTCACTCTCTCCTAGCTCTCTCTATCTCTATCTCTCTCTCTCTCTATCTATCTCTATCTCTCTCTCCCTCCTGTCTCTCTGCTAGCTCTCTCTCTCTCTCTCTTGATCTTTCTCTCCTTTCTATCTCCCTCTCTATCTCTCTATTTCTCTTTCTCTCTCCTAGCTCTCTCTTAGCCCTCTCTCTCTCTCTTAGCTCTCTCTCTCTCTCCTTCTCTCTCCATCTCTCTCTCTCTCTCTATCCCTCTCTTTCTCTCTCTCTCTCTTTCTCTATGTCTCTGTGCTTTTATGGTGAGGAAGCTCTTGCAGAGTTATAATTGGAGGATGAATACCTACGGCAATCAAGTATTGTACATGGTGCATAGCTGATATGAGCTTGAGGTGTTATTCTCAAGTGCCATTCAAGATGGCTCTATCCGCTGCTGCATTGTCCTTTTCATAATGTGTAAATTAGATGCATATCCTCCAGGTTTGCTCAGATATATCTTTAACCAACAACAATTCATAACAAATATAACTTGTAACAGTTGCAAGATTAATTGTTTGTTTTGCAAGCCAATATTATCTGCTCGCATTCTAGTAGTTTAGTTTATGACAATATTAAGTTTAACCTTAGTGGCGCGGAAACATACATTCAGAATGCAAAAGGCATAATAGTTAGAATTGTTTGTTAATTCTTTTTCTTTACATATGTGAATGAAGGAAAACTAATAGAGACAGTACATGTTTTTACCAGACTCATATCCTGATGATGTGGTTCTACCTCTGTGTAATCAATTATGATTTTCAACGTTTTGCGTTTTTCACATTTTGTTTTGCCATATTCGTTCTGCGCATCGTTATGTGCCACTACGTAACCCTAAGCTACCTTGCCCTACATGTAAATATGTTACCCTTTTCTACAGATTCCCTCAGTTTCTGTATAGTCAAATCTGTGTGTTAAGGCCACCAAAAGGTATACAGTTAAAATAGTCTACTGTAGACAGGTGGCCTTTCTAGTATAAGGATTTGTGTCCTCATAAGAAGCATACGGTATGGTCTCTATC